ATCTTAAGATACTAACAAGGTTAGGTAAGGTCGGTGTTTTCTATGAATCTTTTTAAGGGCATCTATTATGTTTAGTATATCACCTATGCACGTAGTTAATAAGTCAATATTGACTTTACGAATTTGCGAGAACGGGTTGTATATATATATATATATATATATATATATATATATATATATATATATATATATATATATATATATATATATATATATGTCGTACCTAGTTGCCAGAACGCACTTCTCAGCCTACTATGCAAGGCCCGATTTGCCTAATAAGCCAAGTTTTCATGAATTAATTGTTTTTCGACTACCTAACCTACCTAACCTAACCTAACCTAACTTTTTCGGCTACCTAACCAAACCTAACCTAGAAAGATAGGTTAGGTTAGGTTAGGTAGGGTTGGTTAGGTTCGGCCATATATCTACGTTAATTTTAACTCCAATAAAAAAAAATTGACCTCATACATAATGAAATGGGTAGCTTTATCATTTCATAAGAAAAAAATTAGAAAAAATATATTAATTCAGGAAAACTTGGCTTATTAGGCAAATCGGGCCTTGAATAGTAGGCCAAAAAGTGAGTTCTGGCTACTAGGTACGACATATATATATATATATATATATATATATATATATGTCGTACCTAGTAGCCAGAACGCACTTCTGAGCCTACTATGCAAGGCCCGATTTGCCTAATAAGCCAAGTTTTCATGAATTAATATATTTTCTCTAATTTTTTTCTTATGAAATGATAAAGCTAACCATTTCATTATGTATGAGGTCAATTTTTTTTTATTGGAGTTAAAATTAACGTAGATATATGACCGAACCTAACCAACCCTACCTAACCTAACCTATCTTCATAGGTTAGGTTAGGTTAGGTAGCCGAAAAAGTTAGGTTAGGTTAGGTTAGGTAGATTAGGTAGTCGAAAAACAATTAATTCATGAAAACTTGGCTTATTTGGCAAATCGGGCCTTGCATAGTAGGCTGAGAAGTGCGTTCTGGCTATTAGGTATGACATATATATATATATATATATATATATATATATATATATATATATATATATATATATATATATATATATATATATTTCATTGAATATGACCGCATATTCTGTATTTATTATTTTCTGGTTTAGGGCTTCTATCCCTCTAACTATTTTCTTAGCATCAGGGCTTAATTGAAATAGGAGTTCTCCAAAACTCATTTTCGTACTTTTAAGGTGAAGAAAAGAAGTGATTTACTATAGAGTGTATTACACTTATTTGTATAATTTGCACGACGTTTCGAACCTCCATGGTTCATTCTCAAGTGAACAGATCTTACAATACTAGTTGATTTTATACCCGCATTAGGTCAGGTGATAATACAATGAAGGTGAAAACATGGGGGGATACATAAGGGATAAACATAGGGGCTGCAGAAGGCTTATTGGCCCATACGAGGCATCTCCTATCTAAACACAAAGATTAATCCAGTGTAATTGGCCTGTTATGTTGGACATTGTCTTCTGTGTTGGCATCGATATGTTCTTGTCTTGTCCTTACTCTCATGGTGGGTAGAGTAAATAGTTCCGTGATTTGGGTGTTCATGGTAGGTCGCTCTATTCTTATGTGAATTGCCTCAAGAATTTGTAATCTTCTTGAATCTTGGGTTTTGTCTATTATGCAAGTATTCTTGTTCAACATTTCTCTTGTTAGAGTAATGTCATGGGCTTGTCTCATGTGATTCCTAGGGGCACCAGATTGAAGATGGCATGTCAAACGCCTCGTCAGCTTGGTCGACGTCATACCTATGTACTTACATTGAAGGTTACATCCTTCGTGGGGGCAAGTGTACATGTATACAACGCTTGACTGCTGTAGAGGGTTCTCCGTCGGCTTCGGGCTGTTTTTGATAAGGAGTTCGGAAGTCTTCTTGGTTTTGTAGAATATTATCAGGTTTATGTTTTGGTTAGGAGTAGTGCTTTTTACTCCTTTACGGATTATTTCTTTCATTATTCTTTCCTCTTTTATATGTTCACTGTGCATGGTTGATTTGTAATATAATTTTAGAACAGAAACCACAACACCCCCAATAAAATTATATTACAAATCAACCATGCACAGTGAACATATAAAAGAGGAAAGAATAATGAAAGAAATAATCCGTAAAGGAGTAAAAAGCACTACTCCTAACCAAAACATAAACCTGATAATATTCTACAAAACCAAGAAGACTTCCGAACTCCTTATCAAAAACAGCCCGAAGCCGACGGAGAACCCTCTACAGCAGTCAAGCGTTGTATACATGTACACTTGCCCCCACGAAGGATGTAACCTTCAATGTAAGTACATAGGTATGACGTCGACCAAGCTGACGAGGCGTTTGACATGCCATCTTCAATCTGGTGCCCCTAGGAATCACATGAGACAAGCCCATGACATTACTCTAACAAGAGAAATGTTGAACAAGAATACTTGCATAATAGACAAAACCCAAGATTCAAGAAGATTACAAATTCTTGAGGCAATTCACATAAGAATAGAGCGACCTACCATGAACACCCAAATCACGGAACTATTTACTCTACCCACCATGAGAGTAAGGACAAGACAAGAACATATCGATGCCAACACAGAAGACAATGTCCAACATAACAGGCCAATTACACTGGATTAATCTTTGTGTTTAGATAGGAGATGCCTCGTATGGGCCAATAAGCCTTCTGCAGCCCCTATGTTTATCCCTTATGTATCCCCCCATGTTTTCACCTTCATTGTATTATCACCTGACCTAATGCGGGTATAAAATCAACTAGTATTGTAAGATCTGTTCACTTGAGAATGAACCATGGAGGTTCGAAACGTCGTGCAAATTATACAAATAAGTGTAATACACTCTATAGTAAATCACTTCTTTTCTTCACCTTAAAAGTACGAAAATGAGTTCTGGAGAACTCCTATTTCAATTAAGCCCTGATGCTAAGAAAATAGTTAGAGGGATAGAAGCCCTAAACCAGAAAATAATAAATACAGAATATGCGGTCATATTCAATGAAACATGTTTGAAAGAAAACCTGCTGCCAGTATACACCAATATATATATATATATATATATATATATATATATATATATATATATATATATATATATATATATATATATATATATATATATATATATATATATATATATATATATATATGTCGTACCTAGTAGCCAGAACGCACTTCTCAGCCTACTATGCAAGGCCCGATTTGCCTAATAAGCCAAGTTTTCATGAATTAATGTTTTTCGACTATCTAACCTAACCTAATCTAACTTTTTCGGCTACCTAACCTAACCTAGCTATAAAGATAGGTTAGGTAGGGTTGGTTAGGTTCTGTCATATATCTACGTTAATTTTAACTCCAATTAAAAAAAATTGACCTCATACATAATGAAATGGGTAGCTTTATCATTTCATAAGAAAAAAATTAGAAAAAATATAATAATTCAGGAAAACTTGGCTTATTAGGCAAATCGGGCCTTGCATAGCAGGCCGAGTACGACGTTCTGGCTACTAGCCAGAATGTCGTACTGATGTTCCCATCAGAAAAATGGGAACATCAAATGATCTAATGTTCCCATCACTGTAAAAAAAGAAGAACAGTTAAAAATATATAAAGACAATGAAAAATAAACAATAAATTATGTTCATGAAATGAACGGTATAGTAAACGCCACAGCACAATTTCAACGCAATGTCACACAAAATAATTAAATCAAAATGAAAATAAATCGAAATCAATTAAATTTTAAACAGCACAGATGGTGCTGTTTAAAAAAAAACATGTTTTTATCTGCTACAGGTGTGGCAATTTGCATAATAGGTATATAAAAACATGCTCATATTCGAATGGAACGAATGGTTGTCAAAATTTCAAAGCAATTGGTGAAGAACTTTCGGAGATTACAGTATGTGTTGCTTTTACATACAACAGATGGCGCTGTTTGAAAAAAAACATGTTTTTACCTGTCACAGGTGTGTCATGTATATAGTAAGTATATAAAAACATGCGCATATTCGAATGCAACGTTGTGTCAAATTTTGAAAGCAATCGGTAAAGAGGTTTTTCTAGATTTCCCTCACATGAAAACTCACATGAAAAAAAAAACATGCTTTTACCTGTCACAGACGTTACATCTATATAGTAGGTATACAAAAACACGCTTGTATTTGAATGAAACGTTGTGTGAAAATTTCAAAGCAATCGGTGAAGAACTTTCGGAGATGAGAGTTTTTGAACAAAACGAACATATACATTTTTAATTATATAGATTACCTTAATATGTGTTTTAGGGTTCATAGCTGCTTTGGAGCCCCATGCGCGTCATACTCTATGACTGTAGGGGATGGGGCTCCACAACTAGAGTAATCCTCACACCCAGAAGTAACAAGGGGACAACATGTCACAAGAATATATACTAAAAAGTAGCTGTGCACAGCATATAACAACACTTTTTCGGGTTTTTTAGAGTTAACGTGATAACAGTTAGGTTCCGGAGGTTTTAGTAATGACTCGGCAATAGTGTTGATTGAGACTGATGATGAGGCAAATACAGTTTAATAAACTAATTGAAAAGAATGATGAATTTACTAGTTGCGTAAATACAAAACGTATAACTAAATAAATAAATGCTCTAGATTTATCAGTGTTTCCATTGATTCTATAATTCCACACATGGTAATCTTTTATGTCTAGGAACATACCTGATGAAATATCTAATAACACTGAAAAATGCATGACATGAAAAAATAGTATATAATAAGAAATTAATAATAGTTTTACATGTATAAAGACGTTCTGGCCTCTTTACGTGAGATTGCATCATCCCTTCACAACAGCAACTACACATTGCAACAACGGTAACTTCCCTTCCTCAGTTAAGAAGTTCATTGACGCTAAATGTTACATTAATAAAGTTTGTCTATTAACATAATTCCTTACGAAACATGTATCTCGCTTACCTTGATGGGTCTGTGACGCTCTGGTTGATTGATTCGGAACCAGAAGAAAGCCCCGATGCATCCCAGCTCGAACACACTTCCAGCGAAGGCGAGGTAGTTGATGAGGACCCGCACATCGGAGGCCACAAACATGATCAGTGAGATAGCGGTCTGGAAAAGCAGAAACTGCAATATTTCAGGACATGTTTTCCCACTCACAAATCTGTAACTTGACGGAATATTTTCAGGATATCATGCTAGCATATGATTAAAATGAGCTATTTTACAAACCTGTCTGGCCAGATGTTGATTATCTTCAGTTGTTCTGACACTGACAAATTCTAATGAAAAGGGACTAACTTCCCCAATTGGCCTAGACCCTTAGGAATATAGAAGGAAGTCACATTCAGTATATTATGTACATATATTACTGTTTCCTGCAATGAGTTGGAGTCGAAGAAGATTTTTTTTTAAAAGTACTTGCATTGATTACAGATACAAATATTACGTTATTTTTTTCTTCAACGATATAGATATATATATATATATATATATATATATATATGTCGTACCTAGTAGCCAGAACGCACTTCTCAGCCTATTATGCAAGGCCCGATTTGCCTAATAAGTCAAGTTTTCCTGAATTAATATATTTTCTCTAATATTTTTCTTATGAAATGATAAAGCTACCCATTTGATTATGTATGAGGTCAATTTTTTTTATTGGAGTTAAAATTAACGTAGATATATGACCGAACCTAACCAACCCTACCTAACATAACCTAACCTATCTTAATAGGTTAGGTTAGGTTAGGTAGCTGAAAAAGTTAGGTTAGGTTAGATTAGGTAGGTTAGGTAGTCAAAAAACAATTAATTCATGAAAACTTGGCTTATAAGGCAAATCGGGCCTTGCATAGTAGGCTGAGAAGTGCATTCTTGCTACTAGGTACGACATGTATATATATATATATATATATATATATATATATATATATATATATATATATATATATATATATATATATACAACTTTAGAACACTTTCCCACCAGGCGACTCGAACCCTAGCCAGCACAGAAGCCTTCCAGCAACTGGCATAACAGGTACGCCTTAACCCTCTCCACCACCCGCTCAGACCCTTAAAAGAGATGGTAATTTCGGAGTATTTAAATACCCCAAAGATCAACACCTCCCAAGAGCACCAGAGCAAGTGAGGGGTCATTTAGACGTTAATTTCATCAAGTCCCTGTTAATATGGGAAGACACAGTGTCTCTGCTTAAGGCACAACTCTCCTAAACACGAGAGTTAAGTATACAACTTTAGAACACTTTCCCACCAGGCGACTCGAACCCTAGCCAGCACAGAAGCCTTCCAGCAACTGGCATAACAGGTACGCCTTAACCCTCTCCACCACCCGCTCAGACCCTTAAAAGAGATAGTAATTTCGGAGTATTTAAATACCCCAAAGATCAACACCTCCCAAGAGCACCAGAGCAAGTGAGGGGTCATTTAGACGTTAATTTCATCAAGTCCCTGTTAATATGGGAAGACACAGTGTCTCTGCTTAAGGCACAACTCTCCTAAACACGAGAGTTAAGTATACAACTTTAGAACACTTTCCCCCTTTCACACTTTAGAAACACTTTCCCCTTTCACACTTTTTAAATGACCCCATACTTGCTCTGGTGCTCTTGGGAGGTGTTGATCTTTGGGGTATTTAAATACTCCGAAATTACCATCTCTTTTAAGGGTCTGAGCGGGTGGTGGAGAGGGTTAAGGCGTACCTGTTATGCCAGTTGCTGGAAGGCTTCTGTGCTGGCTAGGGTTCGAGTCGCCTGGTGGGAAAGTGTTCTAAAGTTGTATACTTAACTCTCGTGTTTAGGAGAGTTGTGCCTTAAGCAGAGACACTGTGTCTTCCCATATTAACAGGGACTTGATGAAATTAACGTCTAAATGACCCCTCACTTGCTCTGGTGCTCTTGGGAGGTGTTGATCTTTGGGGTATTTAAATACTCCGAAATTACCATCTCTTTTAAGGGTCTGAGCGGGTGGTGGAGAGGGTTAAGGCGTACCTGTTATGCCAGTTGCTGGAAGGCTTCTGTGCTGGCTAGGGTTCGAGTCGCCTGGTAGGAAAGTGTTCTAAAGTTGTATACTTAACTCTCGTGTTTAGGAGAGTTGTGCCATATATATATATATATATATATATATATATATATATATATATATATATATATATATATATATATATATATATATATATATATATATATATATATATATATATATATATATATATATATATATATATATATATATATGTGTGTGTATATAACTGAAAACACCCCCCCCAGAAGTGACTCGAACCCATACTGCCAGGAACACTCTGCTGGCGTACAGGATCCCTTAACCGCTCGACCAACACGACAGGAAAAAAGAGGATGGTATCCGAGGCTATTTCCATTCACTCGCCGGCACTCAGTTGGTAATCTTGCGGATGGTATTTTATCAAATCCACCTCATTTTTTGGGGCACACGTGAGGAACAAGTCACTTCTGGGGTGTGAGTTTTCAGATACATATAGTCCTGGGGATCATTCAGGCTTGTTCGCATTTGTGTTCCTCACGTGTGCCCCAAAGAATGAAGTTATTTGATAAAATACCATGCCCAAGATTACCAACCGAGTGCGGAGGGGGATGGAAATAGCCTCGGCTACCATCCTCTTTTGTCCGAACATGTTGGTCGAGGGGTTAAGGGATCCTATACGCCAGCAGAGTGCTCCTGCAGTATGGGTTTCAGTCACTTCTGTGGTGTGAGTTTTCAGTTGCATATAGTACTAGGGACCATTCAGACGTTCGCATTTGTGTTCCTCACGTGTGCCCCGAAGAATGAGGTGATTTGATAGAATACCATGCCCAAGATTACCAACCGAGTGCCGGCGGGGGGATGAAAATAGTCTCGGCTACCATTATTTTTTGTCCAGTCGTGTTTGTCGAGCAGTTAAGGGATCCTGTACGGCAGCAGAGTGCTTCTGGCATTATGGGTTCGAATCACTTCTGGGGTTTGAGATTTCAGTTGCATATAGTCCTGGGGACCATCCAGGCGTGTTAACATTTGTGTTCCTCACATGTATCCCAAAGAATTAGTTGATTTGATAAAAAACCATGCCCAAGATTACCAACCGAGTGCCGGCGGAGGGATGGAAATAGCTTCGGCTACCATTCTCTTTGATCCGGTCGTGTTGGTCGAGCGGTTAAGGGCTCGATCATGTATGCCAGGAGAGTGTTCCTGGCAGTATGGGTTCGAGTCACTTCTGGGGTGGGAGTTTCCAGTTGCATGTAGTCTTGGGGACCATTCAGGCTTGTTCGCATATGTGTTCCTCATGTGTACCCCAAAGAATGAGGTGTTTTGATAAAATACCATGCCCAAGATTACCAACCAAGTTCCGGCAGTGGGATGGAAATAGCCTCGGCTACCATCCTCTTTTATGCGGTCGTGTTGGTCGAGCGGTTAAGGGATCATGTATGCCAGCAGAGTGCTCTTAATTGGCAGTATGGGCTCGAGTCACATCTTAAGTGTGAGTTTTCAGTTGCATATAGTCCTGGGGACCATTTAGGTTTGTTCGCATTTGTGTTCCTCATGAGTGCCCCAAAGAATGAGGTGATTTGATAAAATACCATGCCCAAGATTACCAACCGAGTGCCGGCGGGGGGGATGAAAATAGCCTCGGCTACCATCATCTTTTGTCCAGTCGTGTTTGTCGAGCAGTTAAGGGATCCTGATCGCCAGCAGAGTGCTTTTGGCATTATGGGTTTGAGTCACTTCTGGGGTTTGAGATTTCAGTTGCATATAGTCCTGGAACCCATCCAGGCGTGTTCACATTTGTGTTCCTCACATGTGCCCCAAAGAATTAGGGGATTTGATAAAAAACCATGCCCAAGATTACCAACCAAGTGCCGGCGGAGGGATGGAAATAGCTTCGGCTACCATCCTCTTTTGTCCGGTCGTGTTGGTCGAGCGGTTAAGGGATCCTGTATGCCAGCAGAGTGTTCCTGGCAGTATGGGTTTGAGTCACTTCTGGGGAGTGAATTTTCAGTTGCATGTAGTCCTGGGGACCATTCAGGCTTTGTCACATTTGTGTTCCTCATGTGTCCTCCAAAGAATGAGGTGTTTTGATAAAATACCATGCCCAAGATTACCAACCAAGTTCAGGTGGTGGGATGGAAATAGCCTCGGCTTCCATCCTCTTTTATCTGGTCGTGTTGGTCGAGCAGTTAAGGGATCCTGTACGCCAGCAGATTGCTCCTGGCAGTATTGGTTCGAGTCACTTCAGGAGTGTGAGTTTTCAGTTGCATATAGTCCTGGGGACCATTTAGACTTGTTCGCATTTGTGTTCCTCACGTGTGCCCCAATTAATGAGGTGATTTGATAAAATACCATGCCCAAGATTACCAACCGAGTGCCGGCGGGGGGATGGAAATAGCCTCGGCTACCATAATTTTTTGCCCGGTCGTGTTTGTCGGATGGTTTAGGGATCATGTAAGCCAGCAGAGTGCTTTTAGCAGTATGGGTTTGAGTCACTTCTGGGGTGTGAGATTTCAGTTGCACATAGTCCTGCGGACCATTCAGGCTTGTTCGTATTTGTGTTCCTCATGTGTGCCCTAAAGAATTAGGTGATTTGATAAAAAACCATGCCCAAGATTACCAACCGAGTACCTGCGGAGGGATGGAAATAGCTTCGGCTACCATCCTCTTTTGTCCGGTCGTGTTGGTCGAGCGGTTAAGGGATCCTGTATTCCAGCAGAGTGTTCCTGGCAGTATGGGTTTGAGTCACTTCTGGGGTGTGAGTGTTCAGTTGCATATAGTCCTGGGGACCATTCAGGCTTGTTCGCATTTGTGTTCCTCACATGTGCCCTAAAGAATTAGGTGATTTGATAAAAAACCATGCCCAAGATTACTACCTGAGTGCCGGTGGAGGGATGGAAATAGCTTCGAAGATTACTACCTGAGTGCCGGTGGAGGGATGGAAATAGCTTCGGCTACCATCCTCTTTTGTCCGGTCGCGCAGTTAAGGGATCCTGTACGCCAACAGAGTGCTTCTGGCAGTATGGGTTCGAGTCACTTCTGGGGTGTGAGTTTTCAGTTGCATATAGTCCTGGGGGACCATTCAGGCTTGTTCGCATTTGTGTTCCTCTCGTGTTTCAGTTGCATGTTGCGTGTTTCAGTTGCATGTTGCATGTTGCTTCAGTTGCAAGTTTTCAGTTGCATGTAGTCCTGGGGACTATTCAGGCTTGGTCACATTTGTGTTCCTCATGTGTCCACCAAAGAATGAGGTGTTTTGATAAAATACCATGCGCAAGATTACCAACCGAGTGCCGGTGGG